AAGAAAAGCGACGTGCTGGTCGTCTTCGAAAAGTGGCTGAAGGAGGTGGAGTGGCAATCGTCGACGACGGTGAAGAAGTTGCGTTCGAACTGCGGAGGGGAGTTCCTCGGTCGCGCCTTCATCGACCTCGTCGAGGACAAGAGAATCCTCCACAATCTGACGTGCCCCTACACCCCGCAACAGAACGGGATGGCAGAGCGGGAGATGCGCACGGTGGTCGAGGCTGTGCGTACGATGCTTTTGCACATGGGCATAAAGCATCATTGGTGGCACCTCGCTCTGCGACAAAGCGGGCTTCTCTGCCAAAGGGGACGACGCCGCACAAGCTGCTATTTGGGAAGAAGCCGGATCTGACGCTTGCTCGCGTGTGGGGCTGCATGGTGCAGTTCATGGTCCCCGAGCAGCAGCGCGGCGGGAAGTTGGCGCCGAAGGCCCGTTGGGGTCTCCACCTCGGCGTCTCGCCGGAGAGCAAGGGCTAGGAGGTGCTCGACTTGACAGACAACAAAATCGTCACGACGGTCGAAGCTATCTTCTACGAAAACCTATCGATGGAGAAGTTGGAAGCAGAGTACGGGCCGGTGTCAACGAGGATGCTGTCTGACCCGCCGCCGGATTCCTCCTCAAAGATCCTTCCTCTGCTCGCCGACGTCGACGAGCATGATCACGAGGACGTAGAGGAAGTCCCACTCCCTCCTCCTATTGTGCTCTCGTCGGCCCCCGGCGATGAGGGGACACTTGGTTCGTCGCCTGCGGCGCCGACTGGTTGCATCGCTGGTGGCCGACATGACGCCGAGTAGGTCGGCAATGGGAAGCGGCAGACGACAGGTGAGCTGTCGGCGTCGAAGCCTACTTCAGCGAAGCCGTCAGCAGAGGTGCCACTTGCGGAGAAGCTGCTGGCAGAGGCGCCGAAGCAGACTGCAGAGGAGCCATCGGCAGAGGCGCTAGCTTCAGGGGAGCCGTTGGCAGAGAAGCCGATCCTGGGGGAGCCGTCGGTAGAGGAGCTGCCGACAGGGGAGCAGTTCGACGACGACTCGTCGAGCGACGACGTTGTGGAAGTGGAAGTCGTCGGTGCGGTCAGTGGCGGAAAAGGGGAGCTGTCCGAAGACAACGACGTGGTAGAGGTCGCGGTCCAAATAACAAATCCGCGACGGTCTGCCCGCCCCAACATCGGCAAGGCGCCGAAGAAGCTGAGCTTCCACGCTTGTCTGCCGTCGAAGGCCTACAACACTCTGCTCGACGACGCAGAGGACGACGTCGATCTGCCCGAGCTCGACCCCGACATGCACGCCGACCCAGAGCATCGCTGGGACATCACCAACATGACGGTGAAAGAGGCGTTGGCGAGCTGGAAAGGCAAGGCGGTGAAGATCCTTAAGATATTTCGATGCAGCAGCAATACACTCGCGAAAGCCATACCTACCATACATTAGACAACAAACAGAGATGTCAGAGAAAGGAGGAACGTGTCAAAGGCAAACGTGAGTGACATTCTGAATGTACTCAAAGTAGTAGGACCCGTAAGCGTCAGGAGGTAGGTCTGGCAATCCTTCCCTTGCCAAGAACCAGCACTAGAACACAAAAAATGAAATAGGTGCATCCGCCTTGCACACAAACAAGGCAATGTGTAACGTGCGAATGAGATGCTTGGTTGCGCAGCCTGTTGCCAGCCACCTGTCGATCGTTGCCTGCCGCTGCATGGCAGCCTCTGCATCTGCCTGGTTCTTCAACGCTGTCTTGTGCGCCCGCGTTCTGACATGGTTATGATTGCTACCCAGTTGCAAATGTCGGCCACCTTCTCGTCCATAGCTTGTATTCGCCCATAGATCGCCATGCTCCATGCAAATCTGGCACCGCACTTCATGCGCACAAGTCTCAACTATGCAAAACGCCGAGACCAGACAGTGTTAAAACGATGAGACACAACCTCATACTCAACCTACAGTGTGTCTTCCTTTGCTACGGCATCGTTCAGCAGCGTAGTGCGCGGAGGCTCAGGAATGAATTCGAACGTTGGAGCTGGACGGGGAGGCGGGGCCCACACATGACGTTATTGGGTGTGCTTCACAATCTTCTGTTTCTAGGGCTTGCTGGATTCCGTCCGTGGGGTGCTTTGCTCTGGGAAGGAAGACCCTTCGCCACCGTCGTCATAAACGATTGGCTCTGGCAGTTCGGTGTTGGGCGCTGAAAGCACTCCGTCAACTACTTGGTTGGTTGGACGTACGGGCGATACGGGCCGAGCGGGAGGTGTGTAGGACGGTGTGACGGGGGGAGGGAGTAGTGAAAATAGGCCTAGCACACTAAGCCCATTTCTGATCTCATCAGGAGCATCAGTGTCGTCTCAATCCTGAGCCATGAGGAAAGGCGCCTGGCTGCTGCTGAAAGAACCACAAGAAGAAGGCCTCCAAGCGGCGTTGTGTACCCAAAACCACGGCGCGGTGCATCTTCACGTCACATGAGAGAAGACAGCGTGGTGCTAGCGGTGACTACTGCCCACACACTCATGTGTGCTATCCTTGAAAACAGCTTTCGAGAACCATTGGCTGTGTATTCTGCCCGCCTTGCAGTATGCGCTGGAAGTTGCCAACAAGGTGAGTGGCATGCTTCTTGCTAGAAGTAACAGCCTGGCAGGCTGGCGGCTCAAGAAAACGTTGAGGCAATGTTGTTTTGGACGGGGATTTTCCGCTGTATGTCAAACACGGGGCGACTGGGTTTGGCAGTTTCGGTATCAGGTTATTTTTTCAAACGCCCTGTTTTGCCAGGCCAGAAATCCAGTCACACTGATTACACAAGGGCAAAAACTACACTTTCTTCATCAGGGTAAGATATTCACTGCACCTACAAAATCAGGGTACCTGCCAAAACGCGGCCCATAGCAAGGGCAATCAATCAGGGTATCTTACCCGTTAAAAGAGAGCCCTGGTAGCGATGGTACATCATGTTATGGCACACAAATAGTCTTCCCTCCTACTATTCCGGACCTTTGGACCCATTCACTCTATTGACCCCTCTTTCTTCATATCCACCCTCATCAGCTCCGCTGATCACCACTCTCTCCTTCACTGTATGCTGTTGGGTTGGCACTAGTACTGCACATGCGTCTGGATAGCAAGGTAGAATTGATTTTAGGGTGTGGAATGACCACGCACAGCGAACTGAGACTGACACTTCTGTGCCGGTTGGTAAAGGAGAGTGAATCCACAGTGCTGTCTAGAGCTGAGGGTTTGAGCGGATTGATTTTCAAGTGGCTAAAATTCTTCCACGAGTGGATGGCTACTCTGCTACATTCCCCCCTTGCTTCTCGCTCGTCCCTCTTGATTGCTCTTGTCCATTTCCCCTCCTCCCTCTCTATTCTTTCCTGTTCATTCTTCTTGTAGCTCCCCCATTCCTTCTCAAAACATTTGCATAATTTCCTTCCTTCCTCTTTCACACCCCTCTCCGCACTATCTTTCGTTTCCTCCTGATTCCTTCCTTTACCTTCTTGTCCTCCCCTCTCCCGCCGCTCATTCTATGCATGCCTGAACTCGCCTTTCTCACCTACCTCTCTCTCCTGCCAAAAGTTCATCCCCTGCCACTGTCAGCACACATCCCACCCCACCCCACCACGGTCAATGTCCATAGCACTGCTTTTCATGCTTCCGTTTTTAGAGATTTTGCCTCCAAATTATGTTGATTGCTCCTATCTGCTTTATGTTGTTTTATGTTCTCTGCATGCCCGTTTATGCTCATCTTGGCAGATATCTTGATAACAATCAACTCACTGGCACAATTCCTGCTTCAATAGGGAACTTTGCAGACCTGACTTATCTGTGAGCCCCCTGCGAGGTCGTAGCTTGGCTGTACTCCAGGTTCTTCTCTCTACTCTCCTCCAGTTGTCCGCCTTTAGATGCTAGTCCTGACCCATCCCATGCACTCCATTTACCCCTCTTCCTTCTTATCCACTCGCATCAGTTCCGCTGACCACCACCCTCTCTTTCGCTGTATCCTGTGGTTTTGGTGTCAAAAGAGTAGGTTGAATTGATGGCTTAAAAGAGAAAGCACTACGGTTGGGTTTGAGAAAGGCCAGGGAATGATAATCCAACTAACCGATTCTCCAATGGTGAGTTGGAAGATTGGTTTGATGACGGGGAGATCTTATAAATAACCTATGTGATACAAAATGTATTTCATAGATGCTGACGGCCTCATTCTAACACTTGGTACTAGTAGTACACATGCGACTTTAGCCATGACATCTTAGTTGAGAAAGACGCACAGCGGAATTTTCGCGAAATTTTCACCCCCCCTTGCCCAAATCGCCATTCTAAAACAGCCACCGCAACATTTCATAACCCTTAATGCAAATTTGAAAATCCCAAACCTCTCAACCACTCCACATCTTGAATATAGGGGGAAATAATTGTTGTTGGGGAAAAAATTGCCTTGAAAGTGTGGAACGTCTCCCCTCCCCCCCCCTCTTCCCATGCCCTATAACATTTTTTTTTGCCTGCTTGGGGGTTTTTTTTGCCCTGCCCGGGCATGCGTCTTTTGGTGCGTCTCTCTGGTCGTGGTGCTGCGTCCTGCATCTGGACGCATACGTCTAGGACGCAGGACGCGTCTTTCTCAATTAAGCATGAGATCTTGGATAAGAAGGTGGAAGTAATTTGAAGGGATGACCACCACACAGTACGTTGTCTGTCTGCAGACATGCAACTGAGTCTAACATAATTCTCCTCAGTGCCGGTGCGTAACGGAGATTGAAGTCAAGTTGCTATCTAGAGCCGAGGGTTCAAATGCCTGCTGGCACAAACTGCACGTCTCTCCTACTTCTCCTGTCCCCATCATCAATCGCCACTGTCCCACGGACAATGTTCATCGTGATGCATTTGATGCCTTCGTTGCATTTTTAGGGATTCCCCCTCTAATAGAGTTGCTTGCTTATATACGTCGCTCGTTGTCATGTCATGCAAGCCTGAGAGGTATTTCTATATCTACCATATACCCATCCATTCTCATCATTGCAGATCAATTTCGCACAATCAGCTCAATGGCACAATTCCTGCGGAAATCGGCAACCTTGCAAAACTTAACAAAATGTGAACTCCTGGCAATGCCTTTGCTTGGCCGTACTCCAGCTAATTCTCCTTTCTACTTTTTGCCAAACCTCCTCCTTTTCATGCTTGTCCCGACCCATGCACTACATTGACCCCTCTTTCTTTCTGTCCACTCGCATCAACTCCACTGGCACTGACCACCACCCTCTCCTTCACTGTATCCTGTTGGGGAAGCCACACTGCTGTCTAGAGCCGAGGGTTTGAGTGCCTGTTGGGCTCAGATTCAGGGTAATTGGCAAGGCTCTCTTACAAATCCTTTACCAGCCTAAAGCCTCTCTGCTACATTTCCTCCTTGGCTCTCGTCCCTCTCAATTGCCCTTATCCGTTTCCCCTCCTCCATCTCTATGGTATTTCATACATCCTTTCTCCCCCATTCCTTCTATAACCTTCTGTCATTTCCAGTCCTGTAACCTCAAATTCTCTGCACTCTTCTTGCATCCCTCCATTCCTCTCGTCACACTTCTCTCATCCCTCCTTTCCCCCTGTTTTCCTTCTTTTTTTCTTTTTATCCTACCTTGGTTTCGCCTCTCTCCTTCCATCTTCCACCACTCTCTTGCCTGTGCTCGTTCTATGGTTGCCTGACATGCCTTGGGGTTAGCGAAGATCTCGTCTTTCTCTGCCCCCATCCATCCCATGTTACGACCAGCACACATTCCCCCCATCACGAGCAAGACTGAAAATCCTGTGAGGTAGACATGAGCATCAGGCGAATGCCGAACATGTTCGCTCGAACCGTAACGAACATGTTTTATGGCCGAAGCGAACATGCTTGGTTTGCCTCATCATTTTTCTGGGTCTTCGTATGTTCGGTGTTCGCCCTAGGCGGACGAGATGCATGAAGAATGATGCAGCTGTAGGCCGATCAGGAGAGTGAGGAGGAGCAATAAGAGTTTGGGGTCCGCATGGGCAGCAAAGAGGTGACGGACTGCAAGCTCTTTACGAAGCTTGCGGTACCAGCACCTCAGCTCAGCGTTTGCTTCAATACGTACAGCGGATTGTGCAATAGAAAAACTTTGTCAACACCATGGACTGCCAGAAGCTCATAACCAGGAGGCTGCATCACGTAGAGAATCTCATCAAGTGTGCTGTTGTGGAAGGCGTTGAGGAACAGGCGGAGGGTGCCGAAGTGGACAGTAGGACCAAGTTGTCATGAAAATTAACAATGTCGTGTTGCTTGAAGCCTTCAACAACAAGGCGGGTCTTGCGGTGTTCACAAGAACCATCAGCATGCCCCTTGACCTCGAAAATCCACTTGCATGGAATTCGATTGCCATTGGGTGGTCAAGAAACAATGTTCTAAGTGTCATTAGCGTGCAGGTCAGTTACTTCTGCATCAGCAGCCTTGATCCTTTCAGCAGCATCAGAGCCGGTGCAGGCCTCATGAATGGTTTGAGGTTCGTAATGATGATGAAGGGCAGCATTGGCGGAGGTTTTGGAAAGAGGAGGAAGGGTGAACTCAATGGGTTGGGAAGAAGAAGGTAAGACTTTGAGCAGTGAGAAATGTAAAGGATCGGAAGAAGCAGTGAGATTTGTTGCGAGCTGTTTTGCGGATTCATAGAGTTCGAGTTCGGCTCGGTGTGGTCGAATAGAAAATTGCATGCCTAAGTGGCGATATACGCTTTTGGCCTTTAGCGTATAGCGTTTATACGCTAGCGTTTACACGCTATACGCTACCAAATAGGCTATACGCTCGCGACTTTTTTTCTGGGCAGCCCCGGCCAAAAATTCCGGGAATATGAAAAACGTTGCCGTTTATTACGGCGATCATTTCGCGGTGGTCGAAATGCCCGTCGGAGACCTAGGGTAGCGGGAATGTGGCTTCAGTGTTTGGACTTGCATTAGTTTTGCAATTTCGAATTTCAGGGTTCCACCGCTTTGAACCGAAGGCAATCTACGAACTCCAACCTTTCCACTACGTCCCCTCCAACACATCGTTTCTCGTCAGATCTACTTCGTCGTACTCACCTAGTCACTCACTCCTAGTCCAATACCCAATAAATGTCTACTGCAGTTCCCAACCGCCACCCGATCCCACTCAAGATAATGATAGGGCACGTCCTCTTTGTGAGACTAGGGAGTACCTTCCCGATGTTGAGCAGGAAGTCTTTAAGCATTTCGCATCATAGGGGAAAAAAAAACTGAGACACAACCTCTGTGAATCCCCCCTGTGAACTATACCTAGGGTGTTTTTTTCAGCCAGCCCGGTTTTTTTTTACCCTGCCTGAAAAAACGTATTCCTGGATTCGGGACCTTAACGTATAGCGTATAAACGCATGCGTATTTACGACACGCGTATATACGCTATACGCGTATTTCGCCACTTAGTTGCATGCCTAGAATGTTCGCCCGAACAATTACACTGTCTGGCTGAACCATTTTCGTGAAAATATATTTGGCTCAACTGCTGTTCAACTTCCTCATGTCTAACCCATTTATTCCCTCCTTCGCCATATCCTGTAGTCTTGGTACTAGTAGTGCGCATGCGACTGGAGTAATGTGATTGTGGATCGAACATGATGCCTTTTCACCCGAACATGTTCGCTTCGAATCTCCTTTGAGTGCCGAGCCGTGTCAAACACGAACATGTTCAGGTTGAGATGTTTTTTGTGCAAACAAACCAGTATAAGCGTACGTTACAGCACTGTTTTCTGAGCTCCACACCCCCCCCCAGCCGGATGGATAATCAGGCATTCGGAGGACCTGCAATATGCATGAACAGCAGAATACTGCCAAATATCAACACGAACATGCTTGCCCCGAACATGTTTGTGTTCGTGGCAAACACATAAGTTTTTGCATACAAACGTGTGCACTCGAACAACAATTTCTCTGAGAAGAACGTTTTCGAGGCAAGCCGAACAAAGTTGGGTTCACAGACATGGATGACTCTGTAGAATGAGGATCGGTGAACTTAGGGCACAATGAGAGAAGAAGAAATATATCCTTAGTAGGAAGATGGTACAAGCCTGAGAGGCTAGAGCAACGTCCTTGTCCAAGTATGAGATCTAGAGAAGTAGGAAGCCACATATATGTGGCTGAACTTTTGAGGCTAGCTGCAGCACCTCAAAGCTGAGGGCAAGGCTAGCCAACCTTGCCAAGCAAGTGAGGCCACATGTTGCACATGTGGGCCAGGCTGGAACAACAGCCCACATGGCAGGATGTGGCACACCATAGGGGTCAGCAGATGGCAATGCGAACTGTGACCACACTTGAGTGTGGCAGAGTGTGGACATGTCATGGTGAGCATAATGAGAATGGGAAGTGCAGCTGCTGAGAGTTGAACCCACGATCTCTAAGACCAATGGTGAGAATACCTCTGGGAGATACTTGCTGCACAACAGACACAAACACGTTCATGTTTGGGTTTTGCTCATGCCAAAAAGCGCAAATCTGTGATTTTGCTCGTTCGGTCTGCAATTGGGATTTTATCTGTCATGTACTGAGCCGAGGCATCCCCTTGTTCCCAACAAATGTGTTCAAACGAACATTCCGAACCAATTTGCCACTAGCACTGCAATGAATATACAAGACATTGAGCTCCCTATCGGCAGTCTGTGTAAATGGTCAACTAGTACGTTCCTTTCTAGCTAGGGTTCGAAGTTGACAGGAGAGTATTCTGTGTTTCTGATATTCTTAACCTACCTCAGATTTGCCCGCCCCACTTTACTCCATTTTGACCCGATTCCGGGTCGGGTCATTATCAGGTCAAGACCCGACCCGGCCCGACCCGATCTCAATAATTGGGTCACGGGTCGACGCGACCTGGCCGGGTATACCCGACGTTTTGAAAGTGTCAGTCCGACTCGGGCAAAACCTGGCCCGACAAAAACAATCTCTTCACCTCTCCTGTCCCCATCTTCTCTGTTCGCGCACATCCCACGGACAGTGTCCATCATACCGCGTTTCATGTCTCTGTTGCACTCACTGGGATTTCGCTGCTCCTATTCGCTGCTTGTTGCCATGAAACATGAGCTTTCCGTATCTACCACGTGTGCATTCTTGTTCATCGTGGTCGTAATAAACTCATTGCCACATCTACGCCTGCGTATCACCTCCATCTCTCGTCCTTTTTTTGCGTGTGTTTTGTTTTTCTCTCATTTGTTTTTGTTCTTTTCTTCTTCTGTTTCCTCTTTTTTTCACAGCATTGATTTTTTTGTGTAGGCGTAAACACAGAACCAAAACAAATGGTTTCTTTTATATGTGCTGTCTGTTTGAACCACCTCAACCCTCCAAAAGAAGAACCTGTTCAGATTGAACCGGTTTGTGAGCATTCCAGTTCTTGTTTCAACTCTTATGAATCGAAGTGCTTCATGCTCGGTTCGATCATGGAATACACGTGCTGTAATATCTTGCTCTATACAACATCCATAGGCGAGATTCTGAGGTGCAGTAATCTCACCATATGGCCAATCGTTGAGTGTAACCTTTAATGAGACAGAGCATCGGGTCGACTGTCGACCCAACTTGATCATCGGCCAGTTGGCTCAATAAACTTGTTGGCACTGTAAAATTTATGGCTTGCCAGCTCTTGACAATGCCGTGCAGAACCAGTCTCACAAATACTACTCTGTCTAGCCAGTACACTTCGTAATGTACGCACACGCTTTCACCTCTGATACCTTGTTGCCAGTTTTCGAGTGGTTGAAAGCACCTCGAATCCCATGCCTCTATCCTCCATGTTGCTGTGCCATCCTCAGTGACCTCAGTGATAACCAGCTGACTGGCACGATTCCTTCAACAATTGGGAACCTCTTTGAGCTGCGAAGATTGTGAGTGGGGTCACCCAAGTGCCGGCTTAGCTCGGCTCCGCTGCGCACTGCAATGCAATGCAGTGCCATGAATATCTGCCCACAATGGAAATCTTACTCGCTGGAATGTCCGCACATGCCCCACTGTGTTGAGCTCCTCACGCTCCCCGCTGCTGCATCCCATGCGTGTATCGCTGCTGCATCCCATGCGTGTATCGCTGCTGCATTCCATGCGTGTATTGCTTCTGCATTCCGTATCCATTCTCCAGTTCGCTTTCCGGCTCGTGCCTGCTTTCGTGTGATCAGGTTTTCAAAGACCATCTTTTTCCATCGAGATGGTCCCTGCATCTCCACTTGCATCCCTCTTGTATCTCTCTCACCCTACGTCCTCCTCTTTACTCGTTCCTTAAAGGAAATATGATTTTTCCATTCTTCGCTCCCATTACGCACATTCCCTTTTGGTCAATCAGCTATTCAATCATCTCTGTCTCTCTTTGGCGTGTTGTTTGCCCCCAGTGACCTGAGTAACAACAAGTTGTCTGGCACTATACCGGACGAAATTACAGGCTTGGTCTACCTCACACTGTTGTAAGGCTCACACTGTTGTTAGCCTCACACCTAGCACTTCCATTCGAGTAGCCCCTTCCCCTATCCATGACATGTGGCCCAGTACGCTGTTGCGCAGGTGCATGCTCTGTTTCCATGAGTTTATGCAGTTCATGACTTGCATACGCCCAGTACACTGTTGCTTGCTTGGTTGCCATGTGTGTGTAGACTCTGCTCCCAGCCTCACCCACCTCTGGATCCAACCAGGCTTAACCACACCAACAGTTCCCAACACATCTTATTGCCAATGTCTGCTCCCTTGTCGTGCCGCATCTTGTTTGCTTCCTTGTTGAAGAACTCCTGATTCCGTTTCATTTTTTCTGTCTGTGAATCTCCACCTTCCTTTTGTCTCTCCACATGAAGGGATCTGAGCTCAAACCGTCTTTCTGGCACCATACCCCAAGGGCTTTCTACTCACGCCAATCTAGAAGTTTTGTGAGTCCCCCACACACCACCAAACCCATAAAAGGCGTATGCGTAGACGTAAAGTACCAACTTAACCACCAATTCAGTTCTCCAATACTCGAGTGTATGTCTTTAAACTTTGCACTCCCAGCCTCCAACCATGCGAATAAGAGTGTTTGTCATCTTGTCCGCTCTTCCCTGTTTTTTTCGGTCCCGTTCCCCATCCTCCCATTTTTACCCACAGCAACCTGAGGAACAACCTGCTCACAGGGAAGGTCCTCGAGCCCGTGCCACCAGCAATTAAGACGTACAAGCTGGACAAAAACTACTTGACTCAGGGGTTCACGTCTCCCCCACCATGCGATCAGGCCTACATCACATACCACAGCAACTGTGCAGACACGCCAGCAGAGGGCCTTGCGTGTGCCGCAGACAGCCCTCAGAAGACTGACCCCGTGTGCTCTGCCTTCTGCGGGGTCTCTCCCTCTTCCCCCGCCTGCAACGGCCATGGCGTGTGCTTCTTGGACGGCCCCAGCAACACGCCCACATGCCTCTGTGATGAGAACTTCGTGATTGGGGAGTTTTCTGGCAGCTGTGTGGCTGTGGCAGGTAAGTGAATTAAATCTCTCACTCATGCAGCATCCCATGGCAAGCCATGTCCCTATTTCACTTACACCTCTATGACTCTGCTAAACGCACCATATTTTCGTACTTTTCTATTTCAAGTGCCTTCTAATAGCTGGCAAGTGCCCCTTTTGAGAGCGCACAATCTGAGCTTGCCTCTCCAACCGTCTCTATGCCTCGCTTCCCACATTCAGGTGGTAAGACGGAGCAGCAGCAAACTCCCACACCAGCCATGCTCACAGCCACTGGCGACGCCTCAGTGGACGCAACAGCCACGCTCACTCTCACGCCCACCCAGCCTTCCAAGACTGGCAGTGTGTTCCTGGCAGCGCGCGTGCCGCTCTTCTCCTACCAGCTCATCGGGGACACCTGCGGCCGCGAGCTTGCCTTTTCCTCCTCCTTCTCCTTCACTCTTATCTGCCCCGCTGCTTCTGGCTCTGAAGGCTTTGCCTTTGTGGTGGCCTTTGATGCCACCCCGCCCACAACACCGGTGGTGGGCGGCATGGGGTATGTGGGGATGGGAGCGCGCAGCGTGGCAGTAGAGTTTGACACATCCAAGGATGCGGGCAACAGTGACCCTGACAGCAACCACGTGGGCATCAACACCGGCGGCAGTGTCACGTCAGTGGTAACCGCCAAGCCCAGCACCCCTCTCAATGACGGCAAGACCAAGCACGTGTGGATCAAGTATGACCCTTCCTCCAGTGGCTCCCTGCTCGTCTTCCTCTCCTCCAAGGCATCCCCTCGCCCCACCACCCCCCTCCTGTCGGCACGCATCTCCCTGTGTGAGGAGCTCGCCCCCTCCCCATCGGAGTACACCTTTGCCATCGGTTTCACTGCTGCATCGGGCATCCAGGCTCAAAGCCATGTCGTCTCCGCCTGGACCCTCTCCACCTGTGAGTGCACCCATGCATCCTTCCTTGTCTCTCACTTGTTGTTCCTGCCTTGTGTTTTTTGGTAAGGAAAGAAGTTTTATGACCAAAGGACTGACTGTAGCCTTACCCCAATACAATTGCTATGCGTTCTTTTGACCTTTTCTACTTTTTTTCATTTCATTTCTTTTCTTTTGTGTGCAGACTTCCCTATCCAGCCAGCTCCAGGTACGATATTCTACCCTTCTTGTTTTGTTCCTTTTGAGGCTGGTATTAGAGTTGCATCCATAAACAGGTTTCGTTATGGGTGCTCAGTAGTTCCTGCAACAATCCTTGTTGTGTCTACCTTGCACCCTTTCTTTCTTCAATCGCAGTTGCAGCGCGGGGCTTTACCTTCGGCGAGGCGGCGCTCTCTCTGTCAGGGATGAATCTCTTCTTCCGCTATGCCAGCTCGGGCAGTAGTGCTTCTGAGGGTGGCCGTGACGTGTATGGTGTGCGCCCAGCAGCTTCCTGGGCCAGGCCTGACTTCAGATGGCCTGTCAGGACACAGACAACTTGCGGTGAGTACGCTTGCACCTCCGCTTGTACGCGAGGTCATACCACACGGTCCACACGGCGTTGACACTCTTTTGGGATGTGGATTGCCTTGTTTGGTGTTTGTAGCAGGTCTGACTGGTTCTCTCTAGGTGAGAGCCGGGCCGTCAAAGTTTGTAACGTAAAGCTGAAAACATACATACGACAAAAACAGGAGAAGTACTTCTGTAACAAGCTATTTCATGGCAATCAAAAAAGAAGTATTATTTACTTTTACAGTGAATAGAAATGTAGCTTTTTTTGGTAAGGAGAAAAGACAGGCTTAGTAGCTCCTGTGAAGTATATGCGTCTAAGCACGAGTGGTGTGACTCAATCTTATGATGGGAGAGATGTGCGTAGCTTAAGTTGAAAATGTCAACGATGAGATTCCTGGATAGCTTACTGCTCAAATTGCTCAGCACAATATTAAGGCTATGTTCGGGGTTGGGAGGAAATTTGGAAAACAAAGGCAATCTCGCTGCCGTTTTACACTGTTGGGGATGAAGGCAAAGGCTGTCATGAAGATGAGAAGTTACGGCTACATCTGGAAGCTGGGTTGTGATGTCATGTTGCTGATGTCACGTTGCTGCATTTGTGTGGGTCAGATGTTTTTCCTTTCTTTCTTCGGCACCAGGGCTGACGCATAGTTATCTTCCGGCTCTCTTGTTGTTATTGGATGGTTTACTCTTCCTGAATTCCGGCGCTTAGTTTCAGCTGCATGATGTTTCAACAAAAAAAAAAAAAAAAAAAAAAAAAAAAAAAAAAAAAAAACTGAAATCTTGACATATATACAGATAAGCATATTTATGCATATGTATACATACATGTACATATATATATATTTATATTGAATTGATGTATCGTGAATTCCTACTAGGGTCTCGCAGCTGTGAAATTCGATGAGAAGTCCTGATTTAAAACGCCTATCATTCTCACTCTCATAACCACACAACACCCAACTCAACCTCCTATCCGAACCATTTTAAATTTCTTAATCCAGTCACTTTCCCACCAGTAACCACACACACACCTCAACCTCCCTATCCCAACCCGTCCCTCTTCAGGGTTCTCTCCCACCTCCCAGTTTCTACTCTCAAGGCGATTCAAACCGCATTTTGAAGTTCACCAAGCTCGCCTCAACTGACATTGCCTTCTCATTGATAGCTGTTGAAAATGGTGTCCTAAAAAAAAATCGGGGGAGGGGGAGGAGAGGGGATGTGCTCTGTCTTCCCCCCATTCTCCCCCTTGGGAAAGCTGTTTTTTTGTATCCTGTGCAGAACTTTTTGTACTGCCCGAAAACGCGTTTTTCCACGTATTTCCAGCCCTGGTTCCCTCACGTATTGCGTATAAATGCCAGCGTATTATACGATGGCGTATAATACGCAAAACGCATATTTGTCAACATAGGTATTTTCCTCGTGCATGGGGTGATCTTACTGGTCTATTACTGCACCATCTGCTGGTGACAACCGTCAGACTTCACACATTGCTTGTATGCAGCTTTGCCTATCCTTAGCACTCAACCATGGAACCCTCGTGTTTGCTCAAAGCAATCCAAGCACCCCACGTGTTTCTTTCATGCAACCTACGCAGCCCATGCATGTCTTGGCAGGCGACTGCTGGGCGTACGCAGTGGTGGGCAGCATCGAGGCTGCGCTCGGCATTCTCGCCAACACTACAGTGGCGCCGGTGCTGTCAGTGGAGCAGCTCAAGACCGCCATGAAGGTCGGCTGCTCAGGCAGCACGCCCTCTCAGGCCTTCCAACTGCTGCTCAAGCTGGCACAAAAGGGAGGCGGGCTCATGCCTGAGAGACAGTGGGCAATCAAGAACGGCAAGAAGCCCGTAAAGGCAGGCAGCAGCAGTCCGCTCTGCACGCCGCTCATGAAGCCACTGGCGAAGCTGTTTGGGGTGTCGTGCGACAAGGGCGGCGCTGGCACTGTACGTGCTCATAGCATTGCCGGATTGATTCGACGCATGCTGCTTCGTCATTGAATTGGTTAATTTCTGTGCTGCTTTTAGGCCAAGCTCTAGTTTTTCTGTCTGCTGAGTGCTCGTATGCCTGCATGTTGTTCCATCTAGATCTCTGTGAGCCTCAATCCTCCTCCATACCCCTTCCTCCACATCTGCCACCAGCCCCCCGGTGGCTTCCCCATCAGAGGCTTTGAGTCGACATCCTTCTACGGCTGGTTTGGGCTGCTGCTGGCCGTGCAGCGGCAGCCAGTGGTGGTGCACATTGAGGCTTCCGCTGCGTCCTTCAAGGATTACGATGGGGTGAGGCGAGTAGAGTGGGAGCGAATGAATTGCAGCAAAGGTTTTGAGTCATTAAGTGGGCATGTGCGAATGTCCTTCTTTAAATAATGTGCGAATTCGACCCTTTCTTTCCATACGCATGACCCTTTAACACAAGCATGTGGCGGCTGATAACTTATGACTCTCACTTTACATATGCGCATTTCTTTTATGAGGAAATGGAAGGGTGTGAATGATTATGAGGGTGTGTGTGGCTCCAAATGAGAGTGTTTGTAAATGATTAGGAGGGAGTGTGTGAAATTCCTGCTGCACCCTTAACTGTCCATGGCACTTTGGTTGCACCTTTGGTAGTGTCATATCGTACCCACCTCCTTCTGCAAAGCACTTTAAAAAGGCACATGCCAAATCGCTCATTACGTTGGCCTACCTAAACCATTCATGCCTTCCCCCAGCTGTCCAAGTACCAGGACCCAGCGTGCTTCACGTACAAGCTGAACCACGTGGTGCTGCTGGTGGGGTACCGCCTGGTGGGCAAGGACTCGCGCTTCCCCCACATGGCGCCGCCCTTCTGGATCATCCGCAACTCATGGGGGCCTGACTGGGGCGATGGGGGTCACATGCGCATGGACATCCAGGGGGGGGATGGCGTCTGCGGCATCAACTCCCTGCCGGGCCTCTACCCTGTGGTCAGAGGTGAGTGTGATATCAAAGGTGAGTCTATGGAGTTCCTTGTATTACACACGCCAGTTCAAGTCATATTCGTGATTCAGAACAGGTTTCTAAGACGAGTATGAAGCCAAGGTGAGTGAATGTACATGGGGCACTGTAATCCGTCTCATGGGGCCCTCATCAACCGGTTATACTCCTACCACCATTTCATGTCTTAGTACCCATCTCTGCAGTGCTGGCCCATGCGAACCCACATGCGTTGCTACGTGGCACTCCCTGCGTGTCCCTCCTTCTATCTACCTGCAGGTACCTCTGACCCCTGCAGCATAACCGCCCGCAATGATAACACTGGCTCATTCTTCAATCCCTGCGGCAAGTTCAAGTGCACTGTAAAGGGCAACACAAACGAGTGTGACTGCAACGACCCGCGCTTCATCCAAGCAACCAACACTGATGGCTCTCGCACATGCTCTTACAGTAAGCCTCCGCTGCTGTTGCTGCTGCTGCTGCTGTTGGTCCTGCTCCTCTTGCTTCTGCGCCTCCTGCCCCTGCTCCTGTTGCTTGATGTTGAGCCCTCTCAGCAGCAAGATTTCTTGAATCCTCTCACTGCTCTCATGGTCTCCATGTTCTTCCAATAAACCCCTTCCTTCCCTTTTGCTTCCCTCCTTCCATACCCATCCCTTTCCTCCCCGCCCCGCCGCGCCCCTCATCAGAGGACGCATGCAAGGCAGCCAAGCGCAACCCGTGTGCGGTGGGCACGTGTGTGAATGACGGGGCGGGGTCGTACTCGTGTGTGTGTCCACCGGGCTTCAGGCAGGGCACCACCATCGGTGGCACTTTCTCCTGTGCTCCAGGTTCCTTCTCCTGTGCTCCAGTGTGCATTCGCAACACGCTGCGCTGTGTGTGTCCACGGGTTTCCTATATGTATCCTGCTGCTTTCTAGTGAACGCCCTCTTCTTCTTCATTCTAAACTTATCTACCTTCTAATCTTCACAACCGAGGGTTTGAAGGAGAAGTTTTGCGAGATGAACTGCGTGCCGGCGATCATCTCGTCGGGGTGTACGGGGGAGCTTCAGCCCCTCGATGTCTCCGTCAACAAGAGTTTCAAGGCCTCCGTCCGTCAGCAGTACCAGAAGTGGTTCGAAGCGGAGGGGCAGGAACAGCTGACTGCAGCAGGTACGGTGAGACCGTGGTTTCTATGTATGCACGTTGCTATAATGTCCCCCTGGTTGATCTAATCACCGTCGTTTCTTTGTGATTTTTTAGGCAATCTCAAAAAGCCGCCACCTGCGGTGGTTCTGAGGTGGATCTCGCGGGCCTGGAAGGCAGTGCCCGACGACCTCATCAGGCGCGCCTTTCTCACCTGTGGCATCAGCAACGCGCTTGACGGCAGCGAGGACAACCTCGCCATGGCGCACAGGCGGACCCAGCTGACCGCGGAAGTGGATGTCGACGACGGCATCATCGCTGATGGCTTCTTTGGCAACAACTGCCAGGAGCCCGAGTTTGACGAGGAGGAGTAGATGGTTCCTTGGTAGAAAGGCCTTTGTAAACGCCTATTCATTGAGTTAGAAGTAGGTAGTTGTAAGTGCTAAATTTCTAATGAAAAGTGCATGAAGATGTTAATTGTTGTAGTTCTTAAAAAATAAAATTTGTTCAAGGTATGCGCTTATAATAAGTACGTGTACAAATAGGGGTGCGCTTATAATCGAGGAACGGCCATAAGCGCCATGCTCCAGATAGAGGCGCCAGCGCCTTTAATCGGACGGCGCCTATATCCGGGGCCATACGGTAGTAGTGGAGGAGGTTTTAAGACTACTAAAGCTTCCGCTAGTAGCTTAGTCTAATCAACCTCCCACAGAAAATTCCCCTAAACCCTAAACCTCTCGCTAGTTTTACCAGGCAAAAAGTACAATCTTGATATGATGTTCTCTTGATTTGAGGATAGGATTCTCTTGATTTGAGGATAGGAATACGCTCTTAGTTTTCGGGGGGTGGGGGGGTTCTACTGTCGGGAAAATACGGGTAGTACATCTAAGTACGGGTTGTATGAAATGTCGCATTGGTGATAGTGAGGCTTCAGATTTGCTTTAATGTTACTGACTGCACAACCACCACCATTCTGTACTAATGCATCGTCTTCCATTTTTGGTTCGATTCGAATATACCTCAGGGGTCTGATATGCAGTGAACTCTGCTATGTAGGGATCACTTCAAAATGACGATGGCACGCAAATAGACTTCACTCCTAAAGTACCAGAGCAAGACCTGCCATTGTAGTCGTAAAACAATGTGATCGCCGTTGAGGTAGTTCCACCGTAGAATCGGTAAGCAGCTGCACACGCCATTGACTGCTGGACAGGCTTGACCCTTCTTGCATAAACCAATACTCTGCCCTGAGGCAAACCTGGGGTCATGGGATGGATGGGATCAAGGTGCATGAATCAGTAAGGGTGTCAGAGACACCAAAGAGATTAACAGGGAATGCACAATGAAGGCAGCGGCAATAAGGCACGTACGTTTTCAGAAGCTCTGCAAAGCGCACCTACTTATGTCCACCTATTCCTTGCTCCCCCCATCCCCAAGGCCGCTAACCCCAGCCCTTACAGTCCTCACCTGTACACCAATGTTGCTGCCGATAGCGGAGGCAGAGGAAGGGATGGTGGCGGAGCAAGTGAGGTCGGGATTGTTGCAGTACAGCGCAGCCCACGCATCCCCAATTGCACCCCCTTGTGAAGTGCCGGTCCTCTGAAGCAGCCGGTCGCACGTGTCTTGAGGTGTGAGTGTGCCGTATCTCACACACTCAGGCACGGTGAATGCGAAGGCAGCACTGTGCTCAAGGCACACGGAGCGGCCCGCCTTGATGGGCTTGGAGCAGTCAAGGCCGGGGTTGAGCTCAGCGAGACGTGCCTCATTAAGGCTGAGCGCTGGGGTGATGGATGCACAGGTGTCCCCCTGGAGGGTTGGAGAGAGGCACGCAAAAGTGAGACTTGGTGCTTGCGATGTGCTGAGTCGGCCATGCAAGCTGGTTGCGTGCATGGTGCGGTGTGGGCAAGAAAGCAAGAGGAGCAGGTCTCACATTGAGGGAGTAGAAGAAGGCAGTGCAGGGTGTGGCAGGAGTACCATCCAGCTGAAGGACACTGCCCTTGGGCAATGGCTGGCTGTAGTCAATGCCCTGCATTGGAGACAAGTGCACGTTTTTTAGGTTTGAACCAAACCCCACACAATCAAGGCTTCCACTTCTCAGTGAGTCCTGGAGAGTAAGTACATCCTTCACAGTTTAGTATCTGATATGTTGGAACGACACGGCAGTGCAGTGATAACTCATAGGTACAGTAAAGCAAGAGTTAACAGATAAAGTGATGTGAAAACAAGCTGAAATGGAATGTTCAATCAAAACGCTGAATGAAGGCTTGTAACTCCCACCACCCCTTCCACCCACCGCGTTTTGGTCAACAAGCGGATGAACATCGGAGCACCACCAGTTGTCACCACTGACTGTCATTGTGGTGGACGTGGTATTAGCTGCAGGCAGAAATAAGAGTAAGACAGAGGCAAGGAAAGAGAGCGCCACATTGAAGTTTTAAAAGAAGCGGAACAAGACTAGAGAAATGAAGTCAATCAGTGAGAGGCCAACAAGCGGATGAACATCGGAGCACCACCAGTTGTCACCACTGACTGTCATTGTGGTGGACGTGATATTAGCTGCAGGCAGAATTGAAAGTAAGACAGAGGCAAGGAAAGAGAGCGCCACATTGAAGTTTTAAAAGAAGCGGAACAAGATTAGAGAAATGAAGTCAGTCAGTGAGAGGCCAACAAGCGGATGAACATAGGAGCACCACCAGTTGTCACCACTGACTGTCATTGTGGTGGATGTGGTATTAGCTGCAGGCAGAATTGAAAGTGAGACAGAGGCAAGGAAAGAGAGCGCCACATTGAAGTTTTAAAAGAAGCGGAACAAGATTAGAGAAATGAAAGTTGCAAGTTTCACAAAGAAGTGGAGGTTACCAAGAAAAATTCCAGCAAACGAGACCAATGGATACGGTTGAGCATGGGCCTGGCCCGGCCCGACCCGGGCCGAATGAGCAAGACCCTGGCCGGGTCCCGCCCATTTTGTACTCGGGCCAGGGTGGCCCGACTCGGGCCGTGCAAGGCCCGACCCGGGCCGGCCTGGCCCGGCTTGGGTGCAATTTCGTTATAGGTAAATGGTGTTTTGGGCCTGTTGTAGAGAGGAGAACAAGTCTAGGGCCCAACCGGGCCGGCCCGGCCCACCCTGAAACGGGGAGGCCAAAAGCGGGCCGCCCGCGGGCCGACAGCCAAATTTCGAGGCCCGACCCGAAGCATTTCCGGGCTGGCCCAACTCGGGCCAGGCCCAGCCCATTTTTTTGCTCAACCCTACCATTGGAGAAATTCAAGCCACCTACTTGGATCGCAGGTGGGGAAACCATCAACTGTTGTGCTGAGAACGTGGTTGGGCGGACAGATGCAGGAGTAGGAGCCCTTGCCATCGTTGATGCATGCTCCCACGTAGCAGGGGTTCTTGAAGTACGACCCACACACGTCCACTGCCAGACGTGTTCCGGGGTGACGGATAAGACAGAGAGTTGAGAGAAACATGGCAATAAACAGAGTGAGGGAGAATGTGGTTAGAGAAGAAGGGGCATATGGTCTGCAGACTCCTAGCCAGATGCCAACCAAACCTCTCTCCACTGCAGCTGAGGAACCTCTAACACAGATCGAACATAGGCGGGAGTATGTAGAGCACAGGAGTCCTAGGAGACTCTTGTTTCTCACCTCATTGTCCTCACTCCCTGTGACATGCACCTGCATAACTTCTGCATGCTACAATAACGCAACATACTTCAGTGTACGACCAAATTACATGCCCTCCTACTCACCCTTTGACTTGCCACTGATCTTACCATAAGCACAAGTGGAGCCAATTCCATTCGCAACTTCCACAAAAGGCTGCACAGTAGCGGTGGGAATATTGCAAGTGCAGATATTGCTGCTTGTTGTTGTCCCCTGGCACTGGAACTAGCCACACGGGTTCATGCTGGGTTGCGAATCCCCATCGCCCTTGTAGCTGCTTCGCCCGCAGGGGTCCCTGGAACTGGAATGGAAGGCGTAGAGAAGACACTTGAAGAAGGACTACATAGTTCTTGCCACAATATTGAGCACCACAATAGATAAGCACCACTCAGTGGTTATGTGCTTTCTAAGCTTGACACTAGGATGGACCACCACTAGCGGAAGAATTTTCAGTGTTCAGCTTGTACAGATATCATATTTATGTGTTGTGTAATACTCTGCGTGTGCTATTTTGTTGCCTTTGTGTGTATCTTTCATGCATCTGCTTAGGTCACATTTCCAAACTTAATATCGTCTATTTTTCTGCATCTTCTCAGTAGCTACTTTCAAAATGCCTCCCCCCCTGCATGTGCTCATAAACTGTCTCTGAGACGCAATATTCCTCCTACTTACTTTCCAAGCATCCACTCAGCAGGTGACACTACTCCCTTCCTCCTCTTGCTAAATTTGCATATAATGAATACGGAAACCTTTCCCCAAACATTTTAGAAATGAAGTTTGTGCTAAATCCATTTACGGATCAAATACTGACGATTCGAATATAAATATGCTCGCAATGTTTTGACAATCATACTCTTGATCATTACTCACACTGAATTTTGTGTTATTCAAACTATCATTACTGTCGTGATCCACAATGTAGCAGGCTTACCGCATTGTGTTGTGTGACAAATCAGGATGCATGGCACAGGTCCAAGTGTTGTAAGAAACTATATATCCGCAGTAAAGACCAGAAGAGAAGAAACCATGTATGTGTCTCGTAAACTTGAATATTTGGCGATCGTGTATTTGACAAAATTGAAATATTCACAAACGAATGCATGCGAGTAGCATGCCAATTGGAATTTGATCTTTAGCTGTAGAGTATCAAATCGGAAACCAAGTACCAAAATCAATTGACATAATTCTTTCCATGCTCAAATGTACCCCTTACCTACCAGGACGTATAAGTTACAGCAGTGGCGCAACGTTTTTGAGGGAAGTGGGCAGCACAGACCAGTTACCGAAGGGCTAGCGGGTTAAATGCACCAATCTCAATTGAAAATGATGTAGATAGGCTCACCTCACCCGTGACAGAGTACATATGGCTCGATATTGAATGGGGTAGATGCCTTACTTTTGACAATAGGGTAGATGCCAGGCAGCACGTTGATGCCACACACGCCCTCTCCTCCCTGAATGTCCATGCGCATATGTCCCCTTTGGCCCCACTCCTCTCCCCACGAGTTGCGGATGATCCAAAATGGAGGCGCAATACGGTTCTGGCTGCCGTCGTTTCTTGTGATGAAGTAGTCAATAACGAGTACAACATGGTTGAGACTGCCCGTGTAGCAACCAGGATCCTGGAATTTGTAAGTCTGAAGTGAGGTGGGGGAAGAACATCCACAAAGTGGGATCAAAGAATACAGGCCAGACAGGAATGAAGCTGTGGAAGGGGATGCAGCATTCCAGGTGAAAGTATTTCCCATCCAGGTGATCACCCATAAAAATGTGGGCACGTTACTGAGTGACAGCTGCAGCGACTCACCCCATCATACTGCATGAAGGTCGGAGACGCCTCGATGTGAACCACCACTGGCTGCCGCTGCACTGCCAGCATGAGCCCCACATACCCCTTGAACTGCGCTCGCTCAAACGCTTGCACCGGGTACGTTATTACCTGGAACCACCGGATTGCAGCATTTTTTGGCAAGAAAAGGGGGGGTTGGGGTGGAGATTGAAATAGGCCTGGAGTTTGAAAATTCTGAACTCGCCCCCCCCGAAGACGACCCACCAAAAAAGGAACAAGGCACAAAAATTAGCACGAACGATGCCTCAACAAATCAGCAACGAATCTCTGGGTCTCATACACCAATAAGAGAAACGAATGATCGTGCAATCAGAACCTCACGTAGCTGGATGAGGTGGTTTCACTATACCATTCCATACCACGTCTACCTGCTGTTTGCCCTACCATACCACGTCCTCTAGCTGGGTGGATGAGGATACATACCACCATACCACGTCCGCATGCTGTTTGCCCTACCAGGTCGTCGGCTCCTGTGAGCCCACTGTGATTGTCTCAAAGGCGTGGGTGGGGGAGCCGCCAGCGGAGCACTTGTCGGAGTCGGAGAGCCCCATGAGGGCGAAGAGCGCCTCCACTGCCAGCCGGGGAGCGCTCTGCTGCTTTGCAATGCCGTATGCCGCCTCCACACTTGCCACCACCGCATACGCCCAGCACGCATATGAGAAGTGGTAGAGCAAGAAAGGTGAGAAAGAAGAGTGGCATGATGAAGATAGGCTGCACATTTGTTTGGGTTACGATGTTTGGTTTTGAAGCTGGTTTGACTTGTGTAGATTTCATTCTCAACCTCTCCAACCTGACCAATCCCATTTTTTTTTACGATTTGCATAAAATTTCCTCGGATTACCCATGTGTCCTTTGATCCGACTTGATGTGTATTACTTATGGCTGGCTGTGTGCCTTGCATGGACAAGACGCAGGGTCAACGCCATTTGATGCCTCGTACTATGCTGCGTGGACACGGTACAAACCACAGCAGTGTTTGGCAAGTACAGACGTAATCAACAATACTCAAGAACTTCATTTTGCAGTCGATTACACTCACCGCAGAAAAACAGCTCAAATGCTGATATGTCGATTCTTTCCACACTCACTGCAGTCGTTTTGGTTCTTGACAGGCCAAGCAAGAAAGGGCACGGAGTCCCACGTGTGGAAGTCACGAATGCTCCACGACTCCGCTTTGGTGGCCGACAGCTTGAAGTCCGCACTCACATAGCGCGAAAAGGGACTGGCTCGAGTCGGTGCAAATGTGACCTCTGACAACGAGAGGCCGAGGGTTGTGAGGGGGGAGGAAGGGTTGGATGTAAAGGGAGATGTGGATGGCGTGGTCTGATATTAAAGGCACCTGTTGGTGTCTCCAAGAAGTTTGACATGTAATAACTTGAGCTACATCTGATTGACTAAAAATGGCGCTCGATGTTCCCTCAGTAATCGGTTAGAAAGGATAGGTGAAAAAACTGACGGCAATTTCCAATGAAATCAAGTATTTTTTCGCGCCCTAGAGAGCCCCATCGACTTCCTGAGCGACCCACAGTGCTAGCCAGCTAAGATTTTGCGGCGGTAGTAGTTCTGCGCGTATCTCATTAACCCTCCTGGACCATGATGGCGTTGTGGGAGAAACATTAACAATGTTCGGAGCCTGCCAGTAATTCTTATGAACATCAAAGTTATTCTGCATGTTGCTTGCTTCTGATTGCCGCATGACAGGCAGGGAGCTCACCTTTCTCATTAACCTGGGCTGCCTTGGGTGAAGGAGCAACTGTCGAGATAGACAGAAGAAAGAGAAGCACAAAAGCCATAGAGTGCTGGTTGGGTCTTGGACAAGGAAAGCACACCATAGGGTAGGAGTGGCAAGATGATGTGAAAAAGCTACCACTGTCATCATCTCCATAATGGCCTAGCTATGACAGGTGCCACCATCATCATCAGTACCCAGAAAAACGTCTCAAGTAAACACCCCATCCTAATCTCTTGTTCATGAGTGATCAAACTGGCCGGGTGATAACCGAATTGGTTCAGGACGAACCAGCTGATTTCAAGTTCGGTTTGACACATCATTCACTCACTAGGTGCTTACGCGACCGATTTTGTTCTAGGAATGTATGACTACGAAACGAAATAACCGTGCAAAGATGGATTATCGAAGGTTGCTAGAATTTAAGTGAGACAGAAGTTGGAACTCAAACAACCACGTCCTCCACCACCACCACTTTTCCACCCCCCCTACCACCCATCAAGGAAGTTAACATCACCCCACTTGCCTCAAAATAACCTTGCCTGTTTGCACAGAGGAGAAGAGAATGCCATGCAGCTGGAAGGGCTTCATAGTGGTGGACGCCACAAAGCCAAACGAGAACGCCGGCTGCTTCACTCCCGGCTGCAGCACCGCACACAGCGACACCTTTCCCTGTAGCAGCGGCTCCTCTGGTTTCGTCTTTGAATTCGCCAGGAACACTTGAATGGTGTTGGGATCCCTAGGCTCATAGTCCACCCACGCCTTGTATGAGTCGCCGTCTGTCAGAGTGAATGGCGACACCTCCTTGACCAAGGGTTCCTCTGCGCCGTTGATGCTCAGCCCCACGTGCTGCTCGCCCGCATCATCCTGAAGCGTGTCGAATACCACGGCTATGCTCCTGGGTCCCACTCCACTATACCCCACACCACCAGGTTTCCCTGCCTTGGGCTTCGCCGCGATTACAAATGCAAAGCCGCTGGAACTTGCAGTACCAGACTGGGGCATGAGAGCAAAGGTGAAGTTGACTCTGAAGGCCAACCCCAAGCCGCATGCCGAGGTCACACCAGGCGGGTACATGAAGAGGGTCACTGGCTTCGCCACGAACTTTCCCATCGTTTCCTGCTGCGTGCCCTTGGTTAGCACCGTGAATGGCGGGAGAATATTTCCTTGGAAGCCCGAAGATTCGGGAAGAAAGGGCATAAGTGCACGGGGAAGGGTGGGAGTGGTGGAGAAATAAAATGTGTGAGCTAAGCTGTGCAGACCAAATCATGTGGTCAATGCTATGAAGGTGGAATCTACTGATATGGGGTCTGTGCATGCCTAAGGAGCTTTTGTGTGTGTGGTAGCTGAAATCCAACAACCACCACGAACAACCCGTTGAAAGTGAAGCAAAGCATGGAGTGACCAATGTGTGCAAACCAGGAAGTAGAGAAAGTGAATGTTAAGTGCATAATTCAAGGAGCACAAAGCCTTTGACGTACATAAAGTCAGTGCTTTGACATTCTGAAAGCATGCAAAGTTTTTTTACCACCTCCTGAAATACAGGTGATTCCTCCAAGCGGCAAGGATCCCGCATCACACAAGCACGTTGGCACCAAACTAGGCCCATCTGGGTAGCACACGTCATGACCACCACAGGCAGAAGCGGTTGAGAGAGCCACAGAATGCCATGCACTGTGCTACGGGTCGCTGCATGGCAGGGCGGCAGACTTTGTTTGGTGAGAAGCAGTCGGCGGCGATGTTGAGTCGACGGCAGTCTGGTGCAGACACAACACCCGACAGGTAGTTGTCGGTCAAGTCCGTTTGGGAGAATGGGGGGAGATTCACAAGGGGGCCTGTGAGGTGGTTGCGGCATAGACCACTGCAGGGGAGAGACAGGAAAATCAAGATAGAAGAAGAGGATAAGAAGGACGAGGGGTCAATGGAGAGCAAGGGTCCAGACTAGCACCCTCAGATCACTTGTACCTTGAAATCCACAATCACACGACCCCAGTTGCATGTGGCTCTATTATTAACAAGACCACAGGATACAGCGAAGGAGAGGGTTGTGGTCAGCGAAGCTGATGGAGAGGGGAGAAGAAGCTGACAGCCAGGCAAAGGCTTACAGATAAGTCAGTACTGGAAGGTTGCTGATTGTAGCAGGAATTGTGCCACTGAGCCGGTTTTCAGAAAGTGAACTGTCATGATGAGCATGAGAGGGCATGCGGTAGAAGGCAGAAGGGAAACACGGCCAAGTTAAAGGGCTTACAGGTATTGCAGATAATAAAGGTTGCCTATTGCAGTGGGAATTGCACCAGTAAGTTGATTGCTGGAAAGACCCCTGCCACGATGAGCATGAATAGGCATGCGGTAGACATGGGAAGCTCAAGCTTGCATGGCAACGAGCACTGGATAAGAGCAATGAACTCCATTGGAAGGCGAAATCCATGAGAATGCAACAGCGACACTGTCCGTGGGATGTGTGCTGACACTGGCAGAGGGTAGATGGGGGTAGGAGAAGAGAGGAAAGACGTGCTCTTTGGAACCTGGTTTGCTTCAAACCAATAAGGGGCATTCTGTCAGTCAATCTCAAGCAGGCAGCAGATTAGAGTAAGATATAGCGTAGGAAAAACAGTTGTGCTAAAAGATTGTCGGAAAATAGGGGGTTCACTGGTTTTTTACGGTTCCTTTTGGGGGGGAGAAATGGACTTCTTCTTGTTAGACAGAGAAAACGCTTCGATGTCAAAGATGTTGTAGCCCGCATGTGGTTGCATGGCCCGCTGCTGGAGCCCCCGTTCATTGTCACGCGCAGCACGTTGGCCGGCTGTATAAGCTTATGCTACAGCTGACAAAGGACATTGACGCAGCGTTTTAGACGCAGGACACGGTTTAAGGGGTCCCGAGACGCTAAAAAGACACAGGGCCTTGCAGGGCATAAAAAACGTTCGGGCAGGCAAAAAAACCGTCTAGGAGGGGGGGAGAGGGGGTTTCGGGGCATTACACACATAGTTAAACCAAGATTTAGGGTTTTCGAAAGAGAATCAGGACGACTAGGAGGAGAGAAAGCTCTGAATTTCGACCTTCTTACATTAGGTTCAGGTTGACAAGGTTGGGGGAAGGAGATGCAGTGCGGTAATGTGTGGTGGTTGGGGGGAAAATGGTTTGCTAGCGATTTTGCTTTGTAAAATGAGCGAAATGGCTACCACTTGTTTGCGATTTTGCTTGCTGACATCGTTCCCATGGAGTTACCAATTCGCGGATCTAACATTAACATCAAAATCACGAATGGGCAATTTCACGGCCTGATTTTTTTTCCGGGAAGATCTTCCGCTTTGCGTCCTGCGTCCTGCATCTGGGCGCAGTGTCCAGACGCACGACGCAAGACGACCTGAGCTTCTTCTGCAACTTAGGTGGAAATAACCCAACGATTTTTTTCCAATAAAAATTCCACTCTACTGGTGTCGCATGGACTTCTTTTTCATATATATATATCGAACAAGGAGCTGTTATAATTGTTGTTGTTGCAATCATGTGATGTTGTTTTGCTCACAGCATCTTCAAAGAGAAAAAAAAATGAACAATCTTTCACCAAAGAGCCCCGCTTATCCCCCAAAAGATAAAAAGGAACCATATTCCTCGACAACCATTTTTCTTTCCACCATGCATCAAAGCATGACCTGTTTGGCTGGTTCGACCCGAACCAAAGTACTTCCGTTCGTCTACCGCTGCTAGTTCAATTCAACCAGGTTCGACCGAAACTGGTTGAGGTTCGGTACTTGCTCATGCCTACTTACAGATGTATCAGGTTTGTAAGGATTCCGATTTCAGTGGGGATTAAGCCAGTAAACTGATTGTACTGAAGATATCTGAAGCAATGACAAGAATGGGCATGCATACAGGGAGCTGAAGAGTGCATGAAAGCGGGTAAAGACAGGCAACTCCATTGAAGCACTCTACCTTTTTTTGCAAATAGGTTAAATTTGGTTCGACCTAGGGTGGAGCTGGTTAGATCGAACCGTACGGAAATTCGGTTTGATGCTCATGTCTATCCCAACCTTCACCAAGTGTGATCAACTAAAAGCTCAACATTCCAATTAGGATTCAAATATTCCAGCTAATCCCACCAATTGGAGATTTCAGCCCACATGAGCTCATCTGGAGATTGCATGACACAAAGTGGACAGAAAATTGTGGAGAAGAAAAGAAGAAGGGGGAACACAGCCAAGCAAGTTTAGAAGGTTGCCTATTGCAGTGGGAATTGTGCCGGTGAGTTGATTGCTAGAAAGATCTCTGCCGCGATGAGCATGAATAGACATGGGAATGACAAGTTGGCTTAGAAATTAGCAACAGAGCAAGCAACTCCATTGAAATGCGAAGCTCCTGAAAAGTGGAACAACAAAGCTGGCGCAGTGGACATGTTTGCTGATAATGGCAGGGGATAAATGGGGCAAAATAAAAGTTGACAGACTTGTTTTGCGTCTGTTCCACGGTATGTCACCCACGTATAGAATGGCCACTGGGAAGAGAGCATGGGAGAGGGCAGAAGAGTTGCGAAAACTCGATAGGAACAAATGGAAAGGGAAGGACTAAGGAGAAAGGGAAGGTTGTGCGGAAAGGGATGCGAAGAAAGATGCAAAGGATCGAAGGTGAAATGACTTGAAAGGGAAGAAGTTTGGGTTACGAATGGAAGAACCGCACGAAAGTATTTATGGAACAAAAAACATATAGAGGAAGGACAAGAGCAATTAGGATGGATGAGCAAGAAGCAAGGAGGAAATGGATCGGAAAGGCCTTGCACTAAAAAAAGGTTTGAAAGAGTGCCTTGCCAATTGCCCGATTTCTGAGCCCAGCAAGCACTTGAACCCTCAGCTCTAGAGAGCAGTGTGGCTTCTCTCTCCCTTACCAACCGGCACAGGGGTGTTAGCCAGAGTGGTGTCAGACTCAGTTCGCTGTTAGCGCATGTCTGCAGAGAGACTCTGCAGTGTGTGATCATTACCCACCCTCAAATCACTTAAAAAATGCAATGCATAATCACACGAGTCCAGTCACACACGCACTACTAATACCAAGACCACAGCTGCACAGCATACTGCAATAGAGAGGATGGTGGTCAGCTGAGCTGATGCAAGAGGATAAGAAGCAAGAGGGGTCAATGGAGAGCATGGGTCAAATTCAGCATCAAAAGGAAGAAAAAAATTAGGTTTAGGAGAGCACCGGACGGGAATACAGCCAAGCAAAGGCATTGCAGGGGGGCTTACAGATAATACAGTTTAGAAAGGTTGCTGATTTCAGCAGGAATTGTGCCACGGAGCTGATTAGTAGAAAACATTCTGCAACGATGAGTATGAACGGATATGCGGTAGATATAGGCACATACAGGAGGCTCGAGTTTTCATGGAAACGAGACGGAGATAGGAGCAAGCAAATCTTTTTGGAGACTCCCTATGCAACAGAAGCATGGAAGGCAGCACAATGGAAGTCATTATATGTGGGGTTGGATGAGACGAGGGCCATTATCAGGGGGCTGCAGAAAATGGCTGAGGGGTGACGGCAGAGGGGAGAGGCTAAGGTCCCATCTCTTCTCATCCCGCTATTCTCAACCAGCGCGAAATAATGAGAAGAGGAAGGCCCACAGGGCCCTTATATAGCTAAGGAAGGAGGGCTGAGGGCTGAGGGCAGAGGGGAGAGGTTACGGTCCCATCTCTTCTCATCCTGCTATTCTGAACCAACACGTCGGACTCGGTTTGCTCAGCACATGGGCATTTGACCCGACCCGACCCGACCACTCCCGTTTTGGGCGACCCGAGACAGCCGCGGGTCGGGTCGGGTCGGCGGGTCAAGATTGACCATAATTCTGGGACCCGACCCGTCCACGGTGCACGGGTATCTGTGACCCGTCCACGGGTTGCTTATAGGGCAGGGGTCGGGTCGGGTCGGGTACAAGCAGGGTCTGAAATAACTAGGGTTTAGGCGAATTTGTTTAAGTGATACAGCGTGCTGCAGTTGGTGGTGTTCACTACTGGGTCTGGTGGCGATCTCGCTGTTGCGCGCCCGCGCTGGTGCGGACGCGCGACGCTGCGAAGTGGCGCGCCTATGCCCAATGGGGCGTGCGCGCACATTAGCGGCGGCAAGGTACACTCTTTTTGTGAGCAGTGGCGCGAAATCGGGTAGAACACGTCGCTGACGTTTCCAACTCACTATCGCGCACACAGCTGCAATGT